CAAGTGACTTGTAGGTTTAGTAAATATAGAATGATAGAAAATTTCCAGAGGCAAATTTTTGTTTTAAAGTAGATGAGGTAAGTACAGGGTGAGTCACCATATTTTGACACCCACCTGCAGCCGTAAATATACAGTGATAGGTGAAAGGTGTAAATACAAAAGTTGTAGCAATTCATCTGAACCGTCAGAATCTTTAATTAGATTGAACAAATGAGCAATACAAAGTGGAAAAATATGTCAATATTCACTTTTTTCAAATGGAATACCCTTTACTATCTTCCAACTTTTTGAAGTTCTCGTTTTTCTGATTCAGATTATATAATATGTTAGTGTTTCTTTCAATATTTTTTGAAATATCTAGAGTTTAGTTTTTCAAAGAGATTTACAGCTGTATGCAACATCCCCTTTTAACTTAAAAGCGCTTTCTAAAACTGGTACCTTTAAAAATTTGTATGGCTTAGAATTAATAGACATTTTTAAAAGTGACCAGTTTTAAAAAGCGCTTTTAAGTTAAAAGAGGATGTTGCATACAGCTGGTAGTTTTTTGAATATATTATACCTTGATTTATCTGTCACCTGTAACAAAACATTGTGATACGTGAGAATAGATCTTTGAATAACTGAACTCCAGATATTTCTAAAACTATTGATAGAAGCCTTAACATATTATATAATCTGAGTCAGAAAAACAAGAACTTTAAGAATTTGGAAGAAAATAACGTGCATTCCATTAAACAAAAGTGGACATTGATATATTTTTTCATTTTCTGTAGTTAATTTTTTCAGTTTAACTACATTCTGGTGCTTCAGATAAAATGCTACAACTTTTGTATTTACACTTTTCACCTATCACCAGTAACTACGGCTGCAGGTAGGTGTCAAAATATAGTGAGTCACCCTGTACCCAAAAAATGCTTGTTGCGAAGACTTTGCAGGAATGACGATTTTGAGTTGGTACTTGAGGCATACAGTTAAATGTGTTCACAAATCAACTTTTAACTTTTTCAGGCGGACTATAGAAAGTCTTTGCATTAACCAGTTAAACCCTCTTAATAGTTCCTTATAAGCTAAAAATAAACATTCTTTATTTATTTACCTCTGTTGAGTTTTCCATTAGATTTAGTTACACCTGTATAGATTAAAAACGTTCACTACAACCAAACCGTTCTCCCCCTCGCTCACCTCTAAAACTTATTAAGCCCTCGAGCAGCTGTAAACAATCCAGGCACATGTTTTGAATCGATAACATTTTTCCAGAGCCCTATATAGAAGTATATCGTTCTTTGTTTAGTTTATTCAACATTCAAATATTTTGGATCAGTTGGAGACGGAAATTAATATCTACTTATTCACTAAAAGATATTAGACCAAAAATAAATACCTTAAGTTTATGGTTCAAAGATGAAAACTGGATCACAATCGGAAATCAGGTATACACTATTGGGGTCAAAAAATCCACTTACTCAGGTTGATGAACCTCTAAGAAGTCACGAAATGTTACTAGACAAAAGGAAATCGAACTTTCCGAAGAATAAAACCCCAGGGAAACGCCAACTTTCACTTCTCGCGGAGAAGTTATAATTTTTTGGGGTTATTCTTTGCCCTTAATTCAGCCTGATGCCTGGAAAACTATCGGGACTTGCGCACGTTTAGAAGGGGAAGTTGGGTCATTCTCAGATTTGCTTTTCGAGGATTTAATGTTCCATTTGGATATTGTGGCCGCGTATTGTCTGTCGTTTTTAATCTGACACTTTCCGTATGAGGAACGAGGGGGTGAAGCTTATGGCAAACGTAGGTGTGACGTCACATGATCATTGGCGTTCTAATGTAGGGAGCCACCAGCTCACATTCCTTTGGTGTATCAGATTATAATCGACGGACTTTACCTACGAAAATATACAAATCTGTATGATTATTCAAAAACTGTACATAGGATTCAATTCATACTGACATGGAAAGGTTGATGGGGAAGTCAGAAACAGGAAAATACCAGTGGCGTACACTCGATCGACCTACGAATGGAGAACCATACGAAAATATACAAAACTATATAATTATTCAAAAACTGTACATAGGAAACTGTATGATACGACCTTCTTACTAAAAAGATGAAGTTTCAATTTTTTGTTGTTAAGATTTTGTGTTCTAATGGTCATTTGGGATCCCCCAAACTCCAGACATTGAATTATTCTCAGATTTGAAGCTGAAATCTATGAAAAAAGGCACTCAGAAAAATTGAAAAATTTATAAATCACCCCAAAGTCCAAATGAGCTGAAATTTTCAGGGATTCTAGTCCTCTACTGGGATAAAAATCGCTGAAAATTGCAGCTTTCTATCTTTAATAGAAAAAAGGTATGACCTTTTAAACTTTTCCAAAATCTAAATCATAACCTTCTTACTATTTATCAAAACAAATTATAATATAGGTATTATGTAGATAATACAACTCACTGTACATTATTCCTCATATGACACGTGAGACTTAATAAGGGATAAGCCTGTTGGGATTATCGCGCTTGGTGGCATTTATAACAAATTCTATTATAGATATTTTTATTTTTTTTATTTTAAAGTATTAAAGTTTAGTTCGTTGTATAACCTTCTGAATACCACTCGATGTTTTAGGATTACCTAATACTTTTACCTGACACTCAACGCGTTACCAGCAACACCACTCCTCCTTTGAAGTCGTGGTGTTGCTGCGTAACGCGTTTCGTGACAGGTGAAAGTATTATCCGGTAATCCTGAAACCTCTTGTTGTATTACATTCGATTATAATGCTTTTATGTAAGAAAATACATACAGTAGAACCCCGGTTATCCGAGATAACGTGGGTGGGTACCCACCTCGGATAACTGAAAACTTGGATAATCCGAATGTACATATACAGGGTGATTCAAAAGTAAGCGGCAATCTTTCGGGAGCGTATTCCTTGCATAAAAATAAGACAAAAAGTTCCTATTAACATGGGTCCGGAAATGCTTCCTAAGGGAGCTACGCCCCTTCCAATAGGACACCTGAAAGACGTGTTTTTCTGTATAACTTTGAAACCCTTCACAAATGGATTTTGAAAATTGGTATATTTTATAAACATTTGATGGCAATTAAGGTACTAAATTAAAAATTTAAAAATCTGAATCAATGTCACATACTGGGGAGGGTGAAAACATCCCTATTTTTCTTTTACTCGTCAGGTTTTTGCGAAACATACGCAAATCAGAAAATTTTCAAAGTCAATTTTCTCGTAAACGGTGAGCTGTATCGAATTGAACCAAGGGTACCTTTTCTGTGTAAAAAACTCTTAACTTTTTGAATTTTCAATCAGAATCGCAAAAACCTGACGATTAAAAAAAAAAGGGATGTTCTAACCCTCACCCTCCCCAGTATGTGACGCCACTGATTAAGATTTTTGAATTTTCAATTCAGTATCTTAATTGCCATCAAATATTTATAAAATACACCAATTTTCAAAATCCAATGGTGAACGGTTTCAAAGTTATAGAGAAAAATACGTCTTTCAAGTGTCCTATTCGAAGGGGCGTAGCTCCCTTAGGAAGCATTTCCGGACCCATGTTAATAGGAACTTTTTGTTCTATTTTTATGCAAGGAATACGCTCCCGAAAGGTTGCCGCTTACCTTTGAATCACCCTGTACATATGTATTGTATATGTAGATGGAATGGTAATCTTGACCGGCCGATTGAATAATGCCCGATTGCACCGTCTCTCTTAACCGAGGCTTAAAGATAACTATTCCTTAAAGTGACATTTTCCAATGAAAAATTGTCAATTTGAGGGATAGTTATCTTTAAGCCTCAGTTAAGAGAGACGGTGGTGCAATCGGGCATAAGTAGTTTTTATTTTGATTTCTATATACAGGGTGTTCCGAAATTGATGCACCAAATTTGTATGGCATATTCTACGTCGAAAATAAGCCCTAGTTTCCTTTATAAACATATGTCTGGAAACGCTTCCTTTCCGAGATACAGGGTGTTGAAATTCTAATAAAAAAACTGTTTTTCTATCGTAATTTTCAAACCACTCTAGATATTTCATTGAAATTTTGTCCACTGCTCTCAAGCAGCAAAAGACATTTTTTAATGTGAAATATTTGGAAAAAAAAAACTGTGGCTTCACAGAAATTATTTGAAACTTTAGGTGTTTAATGTTCAGCATTTTAATCATAATTTTCACGATTTCGCCATGCCCCAAAATGGTTCTTTATTTTTTATTTGAAAATGGTGCATCTATCAGAAAAAAGTGTAGAGATCAAATTTGTTCCAAATTGAATGGGAATTTCATAAATTATTTTTATTTTAGAAAAAAGCAGTGGCGCACCATTTTTTTCTTGAAAAATATTCCATAGAAATCTGGTACGGTCACTGGTAATTTTTTTAAAAAAAATAATTTCATATCAAAAAATGTCTTTTGCTGCTTGAAAGCAGTGTACAAAATTTCAATGAAATATCTAGGGTGGTTTGAAAATTATGATAGAAAAATAGTTTTTTTCTTAGAATTAACAACACCCTGTATCTCAGAAAGGAAGCGTTTCCGGATATATGTTTATATAGGAAACTAGGGTTTATTTTCGACGTAGAATACGCCATAAAAATTTGGTGCATTAATTTCGGAATACCCTGTATATGTATGTAGGTATATTCTAGAAACTCGGTTAATACGGAGTATGGACTGATCGGTTAATCCAGAGCTCGGATAATTGCGACTCGGATAATCGGGGTTCTACTGTACTTACCTATATAAAAATTGTATAATTAAATTATGTGATTTGCAAAACAAGGTCAATTAATTGTTTTAATTAGCTTTGATGACACAGACAAAGCGAGTGCCTATGTTTCTTTAATGACTCATTCGAAATAAATAAGCCTGTTGTGAAAAAATGCCGACGATTAAAAATAAACGAAGAAAAGTTAATTAACTATTGGTTGACTAAGGTTGTGGACCTATTCAAATAAATTTTTAATTCTTGAATTCTTACTTACTTTAACCAGACTCTTAAGGACGGGACTATCCATTAGACCTTTTAGGAATATCAAATCAGTCTCGTTGATGCCGTTTTTTCTTTCTATGTTGTCGATGTTGTCTCGGACATGTTGGAATGCTGCTGTAAAATTCAAAAAAGTATTCGCTACAACACATTGTACCTATACGTGATAATCATTGAAAATAATCCAATAAGTACATTAAAAATTTCGATATCTAGAAGCGAAACATTCCATTAAAATGACTGCGTAAAACACATTAGTTATAGAAGCTATATAAACAATACTTCATTAAGATTAATTATTGACAGAAACTTGTCCAAATATTTTAGATTTTTTAAAGGAAAATTTAGTGGACAGGTAGATCGAGATTTAGAAGACTCCTAAATAAAACTTACCTTTTATACAAGCTGACCTAAAAAAAATCATAATTTAAGTATCCTCTGCATATTATATAAAACATTCTATGAATGGATCCAAATTGAATAAGCAAATTTCCCTACAACATCTGAGAAAACGCCCTAACGGCATTATAATAGAAAAAAATAAACGGAGAAAATACCGGAAAACTCTTGAAAAGGTTAAAAGTAACTGGGGTAACGATCGAAATATTTCATCCATTTCAGAAAATTCTCAGGAACAGAGGATAATCCGGGAACATTTTTTTAAATAACTATCTTTGCTATTAAGAAAATAAATGACTTACATAACGAATTATGAATAAAACCAGCGCCAGTTCCTTAAGTCACTTCAATTATGCGTCCAAAAATTGTTCAAGCAACTATAGTTTAACTTAAAACCTTCACAACTGTTTATATTGGTCAAAAATAAAAGTGCATTTTCGTCATAACAAATTTTAAAATTAATAATGCAATATTTAACGACTTTTAAATATCGTTTTTCCGCCAAAAAGTTAATTGAATTGTTCTCGAAAAATGGTATTTTTGGATTTGTATGTATGTATGTATGTCTCGTCAATATAATGGGATAAGAATATAAATGAACTTTATACTTAATATTCTTTGCTTAAAGCTTTATAGGGGTGACCCATGGAGTTGTGCCCTTGCCAAAATCAATGTTAGGCGAATTTCCCAGCATGTTCTTCTCATGTTTGATTTTTGGAAGTTAACTTGAAGTTGAGCTGCTGCCAAGAAAAAAAAAAAGAGCTTTTTCGACAAGTTTAGGTTTATTGATTTTTCGCAGCAATTTCACATTAATAAATGTCTGGTATGTTTGAGGTGGTTTTATAATACATTATAGTCGTCGCCACAGATTTTTGAGATTCCTACAAAAAATAATTTCTTTGTCCCGATAAAAAAAAATTGCAACAAAAACTCTACAGATAAGGGTTAAGAATAAATATAGTCCAAGAGCTATGTTCTGGTTTCGATTAGGTACTTAAATTTCTTGCATTAACTCTTTGAAAGATCTTTTGAGAAGATTGAAAAATAATTTTAAACATTATTTACAACAATTTAAACCGAATAATTTCAAACCAATATAATATTGTACTCAACCGGTCCTGATACGTGCTCCCTGACTAAATGCAGGCCCGCTGATAATAATATAAACATGATTTTTTGTACGAATCACGAATATCTTTGACGAATACTTTTTTATACCTTGCATTGACTTCAATAGAAATTTTCACCAGAAGTTTTTTGATCTTGAGAAGAATTACTACAATTAATAAAGTCTAGTCACTAATCAGAGAACGTGTAGAAATTTTGAGGTGTAAATCCAAAAAAATGCAAGGTAATATTACTTTCACATTAAGGGCCAGTTTATTCACTTTCTGAGAAACTGTCAGGTATGCAATTTGCCGGATAAAAACGCAATTTGTAATCCTATATTGGTCGGCCAGTTATCCGCCAACCAAGCAGATAGTTACCAGCAAGTTTATCTGGAGATGAATAAACCCGGCCTAAATATGGTGTTAGTTTCAGTTAACGATGAAATTTTATTATTAAATTTTCTCACGTGTTGCCAAATTGCACAAATGTAATACTTAGAAAAATCACTGAAATTGAATTGATTGTAAATTACAAATGAGAGTTCATCATAACGTAATAATGATTAGTTACCGGAAAACATTTAGCACGACACTAGTTTTGAGTTTTTTGAATTTACTTTCAAGCTGCGGTGCTCCCGCAGTTCCCTCTCTTACAGCACGATAAGGAAAATAAATGAATTATTAAAAATAGACTACTTCACTTCTTTTCCCTACTTTTTCTAATATTTTTTTTAACGATTTATTTATTGTAGGAAAATGGGTTTTCTTTGAAAGCTACTGTTTGGATTCAAGTTCACTGAATGCTGTTATTCTATATTACACTATTACACCAAGAGAAAATTCAGTATTATTCAGTACTATTCAAGTAAGTACAATATAATATAATTGAAACAGAACAAGGGCAGAATTTTCAAAAGGATTTTTCGGCGTTTATTTTATAGAAAGAGTTTTGATTATCAAATCGAAATTTTTGAATGGGGTTAGATGAAGGTTGTGAATGATCTCAGATTGTACCATTGACCTCAGATTTTATGAAATTTTGATTGGTGCAAACCGCATTTTGATATATTCAACCATTTAGCCGCTAGAGGGCGATTCTCGATTTTGAGCAATACTGTGAAACCTTCATAACTTTTTTGTTTATGAAAATAATTGACTTCCGTAAAGACTTTCTAGAAACACTTTTTTAAGAAGAATTCAGTGACGTTCTCAGTTTTTTTCTAATTGACTCCGATTTCGAGATATTGACTAAAATCCGATTTTTTTTCAATAGAACACCCTATATATTAATAGCTTATTCGAAAGCTCTGCTTTTGCTGATTTCAATGATATAAAGTTCGATAGGTATATCTCTAACAGTTTTCGAGAAAAAAAATTATTTCTGTTTTTGTCATAAGAAACAATGTGTTAGAAAGAGACCTTCCTTGTTTTCCTTACAGATATAAAATCCTTTTCCAAGACATTATGTCTTATGACATAAATCGAAATAATGTTTTTCTCGAAAACCGTTGAAGATAAACCTATCGAATTTTATATCATTGAAATCAGCAAAAGCAGAGCTTTTCAATAAGCTATTAATATAATAGGATGTCCTATTTAAAAAAATTGGATTTTGGTCAATATCTCGGAATCGGAGCCAAATAGAAAAAAGCTAAGAAGGTTACTGAATTCCACTTAAAAAAGTTCTTTCAGAAAAACTTTACAGAAATGAATTATTTTCATAAATAAAAAAGTTATGAAGGTTTCACAGTTTTGCTCAAAATCGAGAATCGCCCTCTAGCGGCTAAACGGTTGAAGATATCTAAATGCGGTTTGCACCAATCAAGATTTCAGGAAATTTGAGCCTCAGAGTGTGGGGTTAATTTTTTTGTATCTTGCTCAGAAATTGACGTTTTCTATTGAAAGTGTCCAAATTGGTCCACCCTGTACCTACGGTTTCACGATGATCAAGAAATTCCTTGTTCTCAACTTGATCTCGACTTGAATTCAAGAAAATTTCAAGTCAAGAAATCTAAAACTGTTTTCAAGACAAGTCAAGATTCCCTATTTCAAGTTCAAGATTTCTTATCTAGAAACCAAGAAATTCACAAGAATTTCTTGAAATTCTGGAAATTAACAGTTTTATAAATGGCTGTAATAAGTACCTATATTAAAATAAAAGTTGCAGTCTGCCACAATAGCCTGCGGCTATGATCGGCATCCCCAGTGGCGGCTCGTCAGAGGAGGCAGGAGAGGCTAAACCTCCCCCAAAAATTCAATCTCGATTTTTTATTCCTGATTTCTAATTAAAATAATAATAATTAACAAATTAAACTTTCCAATTTTCGATATTTCAATGTAATTTAGAAAAATCTGACAATATTATTTCAATCAATTCCGCGCCTCCACGATAAATATCTGTGAATCTGGGATACTCAGTAATACCGGCCCGAAGGGCCGGAGTTATATGCGAGCCCGCAGGGCTAGAGTTATACGCGAGCCCGAAGGGCCGGAGTTATACACGAGCCCGAAGGGCCAGAGTTATACGCGAGCCCGAAGGGCCGGAGTTATACACGAGCCCGAAGGGCTAGAGGTATTTTAATCACGGGACTCAGTCTATAATTCTATTGGTCAGCGAATAATTTGGAGCCAATCAAAAACCGAGAATATTTAAAATGCGATTTTTAGCGTCCGATCAAAGAGTCGGGAATATTCAAAAACTTTAGTTTTATCAAATTAGCTTTGGAATGTTGGTTTTCTTAAGATTTTTACTTTTTTCAGAAAACGGTGGTTTTTGCAAACATATACTACTTTATCATTGTCTTTGTCTTACTCACTATAATCAATAAGGAAACCTTGTAATGTCATTTTCATTGAAATTAAACTAAAAACAAGTTTCCTATGATTTATTTGGAGTATTTTAATTATTATAATCATTATTAATTAATTAATAAATTGAATTTTAAACAAAAAACCCTTTTAAAATGTTATTTTTGTTTTCCGAAATGAGATGTGGCAACGTTGTTTTTAGTTGGCCATTTTGAAGTGACGCCTTGTAATTTTTTGCCAGTTTTTCCTCGAATTTTTCACTTTTCCGGGGCTTTTCAATGGAAAAAGGCAATTTAACATACGAGGCTTTGAGTTTTCTTCATTTTCTAGCAAAAATGTCCAGTTTTAAAATGACATAAATAACAAAATGCCATTTAAAATGGTTTTTTTTTTAAGTTTTGATGTGGCAACTCCGTTTGTACCAACTTCAAATAGGTTTTGTAATAAATGTCATTTGCCAGTTTTGACAGTCGGCAATTTTTAATTGACGTGTTCACATTTCTATCCATTTTTTCCTCGAATTTTCCGCTTTTCCAAGCCGTTTTCAGTCAAGAAAACCGATTTGAAATACGAGGCTTTGAATTTCCTACATTTTATGCTAAAAATTCCCAGTTTTCCAATGGGGTAAGTGACAAAAACTCAAATTTCATTAAGTAGGCTCTGGAATGTCATTTTTAGAGGTTTTTCTTTGAATTTGTCCGCTATTTCAGGGCTTTTCTGGTTGGAAAAACCGATTTGAAGTACGAGACTTTGAGTTTTCTTAATTTTCCACCAAAAATTTCCAGTGTTTTAACGGGGTAAGTGAGAAAAACTTTAGTTTTATCAAGTAGGTAGGAATGTCATTTTCGTTGTTTTTTTTTTTTGGAATTTCTATTTAAGGTTTTTGGGGTCCGAGGGTCGTTTTCTATCACTTTTTTTTTCGAAATTCGCAAAATAAAAAAAAAAACTTTTTTGATGTTGACAGCTGTCAATTTTTTTTGACACAAATCGATAGTTCGCGTCGCGAAACTGCCTTGTACCGGGGTTTGATTTTCGTAGCTTTTATAGTAGAGCGGAGAAAAAGTCGAACATGTGTCAAATTTGACAGATGACATTTGTCGATAATTCCTTGAAGTTTCATTGGACTTTCGAGAAATTTTCGGTTATGAACGTGGAGAAATTTTTAAGAAATTACATGAAATTCCAAAGAATTTTATGAAAATTTTGTGGAATTCCAGGATATTTCAGTGGTAAAATTTTGAGGAATTTTAGTAAAGTTAAAAAAACAAAATATGGAATTTTGAGAAATTTCATGAGATCCTATACTGTAATTTAGCCTCCTCACTTGAAATAGTCACGAGCCGCCACTGGGCATCCCATACTCCCACATATATGAGGGTATCTCGTTCCTATACAGGCTGGTAGAAAAAGACACGAATACACTTAGTGCGCACTAACCCTTCCAATAGAACGGAGTCACGAAAGTACACGACATTAAAAATATCGTCAACAAAAGACTTTGAAGGTTTGCAGCTACGAAACTATTGTAGCTGGCTTAAAATTACATACCGGAGATTTGTAGAGAATTTATTTGGCTTTAATTAGTCTAATTACATTAATATTGGATTGAAATTAACAAAGTTTTGAGGCAAAATGTATGTTGGTATCATTTTGGGAAAGTTCAAATTTCCAAAAAATTACATTGAAGGACTTTTTTTTTTTTGAAGAAAATATTTGAGGGATTAAATTGAAATTTTGCAAGTGGATAGAGTAAAGATTGAAATTTAGGTAGTCAATAGACTTTGAAGCTTCGCAGCTGCAAAACTATTGAAGCTAGATCGAAATTATTCGCTGGAGATTTCTAGAGAATTTAATTGGCCTTAATTAAAGCCTAATTACGTTGAGATCGGATTGAAATTCACAGAGTTGTGAGGCAAAATGTGTATTGGTGTCATTTTGGAAAGTTCAATGTTCGAGGGATTGAATTGAAACTTTGCAATTGGATAGAAAAAAGATCGAAATTTAGGTGAAAAAAAAATTTAAAATTTACTTCTGCTTTCTTATTCTGACATAAATTGTAGTCAAAAGACTTTGAAGCTTTGCAGCTGCAAAACTGTTGAAGCTGGATTGACATTATTCACTAGAGATTTGTAGAAAATTTAACTGGCTTTAAATAAATCCTAAATATATTAGGATCGGATTGAAATTAACACAGTTGTGAGGCAAAATGTGTGCTGGTGTCATTTTGGGAAAGTTCAAATTTCCAAAAAATTACATTGAAGGACGTTTTTTTTTTTTGAGCAAAATATTTGAGGGATTAGATTGAAATTGTGGAAGTGGATAGAAGTAAGATCAAAATTTAAGAGCAAAATTTAAAATTTACTTCTGCTTTCTCACCTTGACAAAAATCGTAGTCAAAAGACTTTGAAGCTTTGCAGTTGCGAAACTATTGAAGCAGCGAGAAACAAAGATATAGCTTCTTCTCAAGCAATTTCAAGATATCTTGAATTCAAGTCAAGACTTTTGCTTTCAAGAACCCATCGAGTCAAGATATGTTCAATTTCTTGTTCTTGAATTTCAAGTCAAGTCACATTTTTGATTTGTCTATAGTTATGATGATGATAATATATAAATTGGGTAGGTAATTATTACGTAGGATTCTGTAAAATAGAAAATGCAGTGAAAGGTCGCGGAAAGAATCAAGTTGTTTTTTTTTTTGGGTAAATTAGGGTTTGATAACTTTTCCTTCTTATTGTCTGCTGCGGAGGACGGTTGCTTCCTTGTAAAACGAATACCCATTCTTTACTAGCACCAGTGTGGAAAAGTACACCTTTTATGCATCAGAGCGTACACGTTTGTATAAATTTTACGAAAATAGTCTAGTTAGAATGGCTTAACCCCAAATCTGCACCACTTACATATAATATAATTATGTTGTTGAGCAGACTGAGAGTTCTTTTTTTTACCTATGAAAATACATTATTTAACGTGCCAAAATCTACTTTTTTCTTTATCTATACTCAGAGCCTTATTATTTTATAAATTTGCGACGGATGGTTCCCATCAGCTCAAATTAACGTCATACGATATTATTAGCCATATGAAATTACATTATTATGATAAGTAAGTATCTACAGTTACGAGAAATACTACACGTATATAATACAGGGTGTAAAATTTGATTCAGGGTGAAGTTTGTTGTAATTATTTCTTCAAAGATTCAAATAGTTCTATAAAATGCCCTTATTTGAAGAAAAAAGTATTTTGCTTCTACTGGAAGCAAAACACATTTCTTTATCAAGCATGAAATTTGAAAAGTCTGCTAGGCAAAAAATATATTTGGATATAGATCAAAAAGTCTGAAGTATCATTATCATTAAACGCCTTACCATTATCATTGCTATGCTTCCCATTCTGAACCAATGTCATTTCTTTTAAACTTTGTAAAAGTTCGCGCCTTTCTTGACTCTCGCCGTTTTTACCAAACCTAACCATTTTCAAAAAAGCAAATAAATATTTTTCGACAATAACTTATTGAGCACGTTCACCAACACTTTTTTTTCAGTTTCACATTTCACGATTTCTTTAGTATGTAGTAGTCCGTGAAGACGACCACCAGGTATCTTTTTCTCGTGAAACAACCCGGTGCAGACCCACGCGGATATCGAAATGTTACGCCTTTATATCCGACTCCGGCAGGCAGCTCCACCAGAGAGTCGCGTTGCTATGATACTAGGCGGCGGATCAAATGCAGGGGCGGCTTTTGCGGGGGTGTACACCAAGCATAGAAAAAAAATAGGGTTGATTGCGCTGTTGGCAAAATTGGCTTATTTGGGAGGTTTGTTGGGGGTGTAATGGATGAGTCAAAATTAGGTTGTTTTTTCTGGTCACACTCAGAAAATCTCTATAGAAAAGTCATGGAAAACTGTTCAGGAATCACTATCATTATAATTAATAGTTCTTTTTTTTCAAGGAAATTATTGACATAGCAGATTTAGTTTGTTAGTCAGGCGTTTGCTGTCAATAAACTTTTTTAAAGTAAGAGAAAATATATCAACTTTGAGCAACTTCTGTTTTGTTTTTAATTTAAATTGAAAAACAGTGGAAACTTGAACGATACTCTGTAAGTGTTTGCAAAAAAAAAAACCTGTATAAACTTAGCATTATTGGCAAATTACACCCAAATAACAGGAAATAGAAGAAATCAAAATCTCAACTTTTTCTATACATAATTGCAGTTTCTGTGGATCTAATAAATCAAAGTTGAAGATAAAGTTAAAGTTCAATCTAGGAAGAACGAATAGCCTGGAACCGATACTGACCTTAAAACTCCCACAGTCTTCCTACACCCGAGGCGATATCAGCCAAATTACTTTTTTTGAAAATTGTCTTCTTAATAGAGACAAAAAAAAAATTAATAGCAGCGATGAAATTGTTAATTCAAAAACACACTAATACTGCAGCGCATTTGAATAGCAGAGAAAAGATATTTTTCAATTTCAGCCATAGGCGTATCCAGGGGGGGGCTGCCGGGCTGCAGCCCCCCCCCAAGGCAAGTCTAGACCAATATTTTCCAGCGTATTTTATGTGACATGGGAATTTTTTTTGTAGAAAAAATACAAATAAAATCTATTTCTCTCTACAATAAGGTTTTTCTATGGCGGGCGCCTAATGCGGCAAGGGAATCAGTGCTTCACCTTAATCACCTTGCATATCTGGGTCCTTATTCTTGAAACAGGGGAGCACTGTTCCTAGGAGAACGAGTTTCCGTCTTTGTTACTTATATTATCATTTGCATATCATTGAGAAAGACGGAACACTCGTTTTCCTGGGAACGCTGCTCCTCAGTTTCAAGAATGGGGAACCTGAAATACTTCCTTTCCTAGGAGAGAAGGGATCCGTGAATAAAATTTCTCCACCTTGCTACAAAAAAAAGCGGCCCGATGCGAAGATTTTTGTCGTCCCGTAAAAAAAATTATAGGCGCGTAACGTTTGGGTATGTATGTAACATGTGAATTCATGAAAAAAATAGGCAACTTTCTATCTATTAGTTATTCTCATAACATCTGTATAAGTACTTATTTTTGAAAATGAAATTATTTGAAAATCGAATTTTTAAACTGCTGCGGGATTGGAAACTGACGTCAATTCCCCAAAAATGCGAGGATGCCGAATTGCTCATTTTTAAATCATTCCAAAACATGGCTGACATGAAACTATTTATTTCACAACTCATCACCTATGACCTATTTTCGTCCTTACTAACTTATAAAAAAAAAGGATATAGGTATAATTGGTGAACTCTTGCTATAACCTCTATGACCTTATGACCTATTACAATGATCCTGAAATATTTGGGGATTTCTGATGTGGAAAAAAGTGCATGAATATTGGCTTTAGCCAATGAGAGGCACGTGAAAGTGGCCTGTTGAGCGTAGCTGCATGGCTTCAAAAATTTTTTTTACCTGCGGCGGTTTTTTTTTGGTAAACATTTTTTGTTAACACAGCCCCCCCCCAAACCAAAATCCTGGATACGCCAATGATTTCAGCTAAAATTTCACGAGCCGATAATACATTAGCAAAGACTTCTTTCTTTAGATTTTCTCATGCAGTAAAATTATGATATAAATGAAATCAATTCCATAAGTTTTTGTTGTCATCTTTCTTTCTGAGCCGAAATATTCTTGTTGTTCTTTTGTACTACACACGAAATGGCATCGTTAGGAAATTCAATAACTATAACCAGACAGACAGTAAGATAGAAGCTCTAGAAATCTCAATTTATTAGTTATTGTCCAGTAGAACTTTTTTTTTGAAAAAAATAAGTGAGTTCACAGTTTGTTGTATTGGATGGAACGACCGCAACGTTTAGAGGCCTTCAATGCTATCGTCAGCTCTATTCGAAATAATAACTTATCCATGTTCGGAATAACTGGAAAAATGCCAGAGCATAAAATAAGATGAATTGAAAACGTGGAAAAATATTACATTTATTACTTGATTAATTGCTTAAATATGACGATAAGAAATTTTTACAATATTGTCACGGATTCCGGATTCCGCAGGTTGACTATAAAAAGTTTCTTCACTAACAATAACAACTTATTGAACTAATTAAGTTTACCAAATTATACCTAATTTTATATACATAAGTTATCTTATTCAAACCGATCCACTTACAAACTACGCATTACTTTTAACCAGAAACATGCAATCGAGAATTCTCTAGAATCACGTAGGTAAATGTTACTCACAACATTACATTATTACAAACATTTATGTATGTAGATAGTATTTATTTATGTAAGAGCTTTTTGTTATTGACTCCCACTGTCCTATAAAAGTGATATGGAAGGAACCGAACTATGGATAAATTGATTTAACTAATAAAGTGCATTTATGTTTTTTTTTTTTTGGCAGCTACTTACCAAAAGCAGAACCATCTAATTGACTTGAACAACTTGGCTTCTGTCCATTATTATTTTTTTTAAACCACTTTTGCAATATTTCTGGACGATTAAACTTAAACCCATCAGAAACCTTCACCATGCTGTTCTGGTTAAAGTCACTTTTATACTAAAACTTATTTTTTGCATGCACCAGAAGTATTTCGAGATCAATGGAACTTATACACGAAATCGGCTACTAAGTGTATCGACAAAACTTCAAAAATTTTTCAGCCAAATTTGAAACATCTTATGGTGCGTACCTATAATTTTTTTTAAAGTTGAAATAAGAATCGCCTAGAATGAAGTTTTAAATACATATTTCTACTAATTTTCGTTTACATGCAAATTGTCCACTGTTCCAGTTTTTATTGCCAATATAACGCAGATTTATTAGGGAAAAATTTTGCCGGGAACGCGATACCAACACACCCGCTGCCCAATGTACTTCTTTATGTATTTCTATCACGAAACCGTGAAACTATCGAGAAATGGAAAACTAAAGTCGATAATTTGCTCGCAATGTAGGTCATCAACTTTGCACACGGGATATGCATAATTTACCTACTGTACGACCCCATTCGTCCTTAGAGTTTACATGAATTGATGAAGGATGGAAAATGGGGGATGGGAAGTTTAAGCCATTCTTCACTTGATGGGAGTAAGTTATGATTGCTTCTTGTTTGTTTTTCTGATAACATATTCTAATGTAATCGAAATGGTTAGGTACGTTGAAATATTAGTTAGAATGGTTAGAAAAATTATTTAAAAAATCTGGTGGCATTTTTGAGAAAGTTATTAGCATTTTAACGTTTATTAAAATTGGCAACACTGAAAATATACCGTCGGCAATTTGTCACAGAATTAAATTGAATACCTGTGTAATTACCTGAAAAATTCGAAGATGACTAAAAAATGTTGTCAGATAAATTTTTCCAGTTGCAATTTAGAGATTTTGCAATTTTCATAATGCGTTTCGAAGCTTAACAAGAAATTTTTATAAACCATTGTGTAATAAATTAACAAAAGATACCTAACACTTTGTACGAAATATTGCAATTTGAAAAAAAAATCAAAAATAAGGAAGTTGAATTTCCACATTTACCTCTTCATATTTCCAAGAATGGTTGAGGAGGATTTTTTTAATTATTTTTCCAGGGTTACTTGAAAGGTCCCCTACTACGTAGTGGAGAGTTTTTGCGCTATTTTCCGGACACCCTGTATGTCAGATATTGAAATAGCATAAAATGGTATATTGATATTATTTAGGGAAGCTTCTTTAGTAAATTTTGGTTGATTTTGAGAGTAGTTTGCAAAAAGGTTTTCTGCATCCACACCCATTTTACATGTAACATCGTCAAGGGCGATGTTGGAGGGTGGTAGGCTATGAGAGTTGCGTTTAGAGTTTATGTATTTTTTTTTGGATCATTGTTGAGAGAGACTTGAACATCTTGAACATAATTTTTGTAGCATTGCTGAGGTAGGGACTTGCATAGAGTGCGCAATTTAGAAAATGATTGATAGTTTTGTTGAGATAGTAAAGAGCGAAAGTTTTTGTGGGCAATTTTTTTCTCAATAGGTAAACTAATGAGTTCTTGTGTAAACCATTTTGGAAATTTCCTACTAGCAACTTTTTTCATAGGAACAGAAAGGTTTATTGCACTGTCGAGGATATCATAAAATGTCTGTACCATATGTATGTTTAAGCTAGAGAGAATTTCATCAAAATTAAAAGAACCCAGATAGTTGTTAACAAGAGTATAGGCAAAGGATTTGAAGTCATGATAGAAAGTTTCTGCTTGCGGACTGATAGAGTTTAATTTTTTATGTGAATATTCAAGGTAAAAATTTAGAGGTGGGTTATGTTTGTCTATTTTCTCTAGTGGATCTAATATGACATTGTTAAAAGTAAAAACATGATTCAATTGGAAAATATTATTATATGCGCACATATCTGACACTATACCAATAGAGTCAATGGTTTGAGGTGAAATGTAGAGATCAGTCCGCGATAGAGCAATGGAGCAATTTTCGATAAGGTTCCATTCAATTCGTGGTAGATTGAAATCACCAGCAATGTAAAGCTCAGCACTAGGATATTTGTCCCGAATAAAATCAATGGATTCACTTACCATCAGGTAGGTCGTATTTGGGGAGTTTGAAGGAATGCATAAGCATCCAAATATGTATTCTGCTTTTCTTTTCCAACACATACAAATATTTGTTCCAGCTCTCGATTTGTAAGAACAACATAGCAAGGCAGTGACTTGTGAAC